CGTACGTGTGTTGCGTCTCCCTTTGATTGGTGAGTAGACGGGCGAGCCACAAAATATTTTCCAAAAGGCTGCAAGGAACCATTATTTAAGTGTGACACAGAAGCAGAACATGCAAAGTAATGGAATGGCAAATATTAATGTTAATGAAAATACACTAAACAAGACAACCCCTCTGCCAAAGAAACAGAAATCAACTAGGTGGAGCAAGTGGAAAGACAGATGGTGGAAATCTAGGTTAAATATGCCAGTCATCCAGAATTCATAGAAGCATAGTTACATAGATAACGCTTGTGTTATTTGCAAAAAGACTGACAGATATTGAGTGTGTGGCGAGTGGTAGTGGGATAGTAGTGGATGTTTGACAGTATTTTTTAAATTTCATGTTAGAACAGGGTGTAAAAGCAACAATATATAAGATTTAGCATTTTTTATGATTTGATGCCTCCCACTTTAAGAGTGCAATTCAATTAAATGCTGCTGTGGTAAATATGTACAGCTGTACATGTGTATTTGTTATGACTACATTACTTTGTTTCAAAAAAAGCGAGTTGACAACTTTGCTAACACAGCCAAACATCAAGTAAGTGCAACAACACAAGACATAGCAGGCCAGCTAACATTACTGACTGGTCCAACAGCAAAAAGGCCAGTTCGCCTAGTGTGACTACCACCAGACAGACTCCTGACCCAGAAAACCAAAGTTACAGTTGCAATGACAGGCATATGGGGGGTCAGTGTAGCATCAGAATGATCATTGATTGACTGAATCTGTTATGTTTAAGGTAGAAAAATTACATAACGTTACTTTAACTTGCTCTTTAGAAGCAGATATGTCCAAAACATGTTACAAGATATAAATATATACGTAAGTGTGTGGACATATTGTTTAGGCATTTAAATGGATTGCCTTTCCAGCAAGGTGACATGTTGACATCATAATCAATAGTGTGTGCGTGACCTACGCCAGGCTTGGCTTTTTTTTATCTATACGGACACTGTGTTGTGCTGTGCATGTAATGGCTATGGACTCACTCGGACATTGTCCATTTGTGTCCAAATCAAACAGTTAAAACACTGAGAATGGTGTTTGCCTATTGTTAGATAGATGGCTTCAATTAGCATTTATATTTTTCATCAACAATACTTCTGTACCCGTCTCTGGGCCCGCAGCACAGAGATATACATCTCACATAGCAGCTGCTCGAAAGCAGGAAAGCAATTCACTGCTCATTTTAGAAATACAGTTCCATTATACCTCCTCTCCCTCCAACCATATGTTTGGATTTTATAAGAGGATTTCACCAGAAACGTATGTCATAGATATCCTGAAACATGCTTTTATAGTCCAACCAATTCTGAAATGCCAGCTTATGTTTCCTCACATGTATGACAAGAGGAAGAGGCTTTGGATTATGAGGTCAATAAGGACATTTTGCTCATGTTTAGATTATTATTTGTCCGTCAGAAGATAATATTTCAAGAAGCCATGCATCCATCCATTCTCAATACCCTTGTGAATTCACATTATACCATATAACTCATCGGCCAGCCTTCTGCATGTGATCACAAACAACTCAGTGTATTTTGGTGGTATAATCTTGATGTTCAGCACTGTAACCTGCAGGTAGGCCTGTCACGATAACAAATTTTGCTGGACGATAAATTGTCCCAGAAATTATTGCGATAAACGATAATATTGTCGTTCCGAG